TGCGCTGGTCTGACTACGGAGTACACCGTAGACGGATATCCTTTGTCTCATTCTCCCTCCTTTGTGGTTCTATTTTAATCTTCGTTGGTTGTTCCTGGAAGAACACTAAATAATACGGCCCATTATTTGTGACAACGCCTACCCAAATACGAGCAAAACCCGTTGGCCGGCAGGATTCGACGCCATGACTTATTCACGGGAGTCCTCACCGGACAACGCCGAAAAATACTAGGAACAAAAGGAGTGTACGGTTGAATAGCAAGAAATGAAAAAGGACAAAACAGTAGACAACAAAGAAAACCAGACCAAACCGGAAATTTGCGGTCGCAACCTCCGGCGGACCAGGATGGATGGCGTTGTGCCTCCAAACGCAGGTGTTGATATCAGGAAGGGCGTTGGGAAAACCGCCGTCACTAGTCGTCTCCTGGACATGTCTACGACGGGCCGCCCCGACTCCCGCCGATCTTATGCATGAAGCGTCCGAAAAGAGTCTGGAGTAATATTTGTCGTAAGTTGTACTTCGCAAGGTTGATGCCGATGATGTATGGGACATGTTACCAAAGACATGTTACCAAAGACATGTTACCGAGGGCAGATTATGGTAATGGATGCAATTGACAACATCCAACCCAACAAGTGAGTTGAGTCATGTTGGCTTCGCGATAGGGAGGTTTGGTGTATACCACTTGGGAAATATTCCTTCCTCCCCTGTTACTGACGGCTTTGCGCATTATCCTTGCTACTCTGGTACCATACTCACCGTCCTCCATCGGACTTTGCCTCGTGTAATGATTATGTCCGAGTCACATTTTATGTCCTCCTGCGTCATGTCTCTCCTTTGTTAAGTCACCCCAGCAAAAGGTCCACCACACTTCTGATCTCGTACAACCCAGTCAGGCATCAGACTCGAGTCCACCAAAGCAGATTCAACCGACTTCTCACCACCGACAGCCTCAGTTTCATCATAAAGTTGCTCTCGGATGCAGAAACCACCGAACCGACGTGCTTACCTCCCGTACAGAGCCCAAGTTTCAATACAGTACTCCACAAAAACCCAAGTAAGAAAAAACCAACAAGGGTAATACCCATACCCACCAGTAAGTTACGCCCGTCTTTTTCTCTCATTTTTCATTTGCTGCTATTTAGGTTTCCATCTTAGCTTGCCACGTTTTTTCTATGATCCCAATCGGCGCGGTGCATTGCCGTCCGCATCTTTCCGTTGCCGCCAAAACCCACCCATACCACTCACGCAGGTGATGGTGGGCACCTGGTGGCACTGGGCACTGGGACGGGATTGGATTAACAACTCTCTGACCTTGCCCGGGCTCTAGGTTGGCTCCGGAATCTCCAGAGTTCAGCTCCACCGTGCCCCAAAAAACGAGGTCGCCTGGATTAGTTACCGGATTTCGGACGCCAGTACCACCGCACGGTTCCATGGCCGTTGGCCGAACCTAGGCTAGTAGGCCACATTTACTCGAATTGGAGTTTGGGTTTATCCCGTTGTTTTCGGTGTCTAGAACTTAGTGGCTTACTCGCCTAAGCTGCGTGTTGGGTCTCTACTTTGTTCATTACCCATCGAAGGATCCGGCTGCGAGCATAAACCCGACGCTACCCAAAATAGGTGTGACAGCAAGGAAGATAGACCATCAATACCCAAACGCCAAAAAGGGGCGAGGCACAAAGAAAAAATGACAAAAGGAAAAATAAAAAATAAAACTGGGTACAGCCTGTGATCATCGATCAGCCCGCATGCATTTCCAATCACGTGATGCCATTCCCACCTATGAGGACGGAGAACCTGCGAGCTATCTCTACTTTATCTGCCGCCGTGGCTGGCTTGTACGCCCTGGAAAAAAAACACATGTACAAGGGTCAATGGTACACCAGTCGATGGTGAGGCTGGGATGAGGGTTGAGTCTGTTCGCGGCCCAGGGGAAAGAACGCCGCCAACTTTCATGGCTTGCTGGCTAGGCTTGTCTGTGTGCTCTCGGGTACATATGTGTGTGCGCGCGCACACCGAGACCAGACAAGTAAAGGTACCTTGGTACCTAGAGTGAGTTGCCCTGCGATTGTCCATTACCAGTGACGTGGCACAATAGAAATAAGCGATGCTGGAAAGTGCCTGCCTGTCTAGCTTGTGCAGCAGTAGTCACGCATTCGCATCGAGGCAAAGAATCAAATCAGCAATCACACCCTGGGTTCTCGGGTTTCTGCGGCTTTCGGGTTTCTGGAGGGAAATGGATCTGTCGGAACCGGGCACCCTTCAGCTGCGCCTTGTCCTTTGATCTCGTCTTTCGAGTCCTACCCTCGAACGGGTATCCGGTGTCATGAATCAACGTTGATTCGACTGTGACACGTTGTACGAGGGTTCTATTGTTGTACATTGCACCTGTTCGTGTCATGCGACACGGGAGCATGACGGGCTAGCAGTTAGGCGAGAAGTAGAAGGCATTGAGGCTATCATGGATGTCTAGGTTCAGCAAGGGGGTAGAGAGTGAAACCTGTTGGTTCGACCGCTGGATAACTGCTGTCACGTCACCTGTTGTGATTATTCTTACGGACTACATGCAAAGAAACCCGATTCGAAGTAAACAATCAAAAAATCAGAATCATCCGGGTAGACCCAAGTACCAAAAGTCGGTCGACCAACAGGGATGTACAGCTTCGACTCTTCGCAGCCAGTGACGATCCGGTCTAGTTTGGTTATAAACCTTCCATCATCATCATCATCATCATCAACTGTAGGTAACGAATCAACCGCCCCCAATCATCACCGTGAGTCCAAAAAGCAGCCCAATAAGTCGATCGTGGGCCCCATCCATCCTTTCCCAAGCATGGAAGATTGGACCGGGTCCCCCCCTGTCGCCTCGTCCCGTCCTGTCCACCTCCACGTCCATGGGGCCGGCTCACTAGACAGATTTCTTCCCACATTTACCTGCCTCCAGGCTCCAACCGATCGAGAACGGACCCCAACCTGCGCGATTAACTTCGGTCGATCAAGACTTTGGCCCGTCATGACTATCAAACCCATGTCACTGACATGGTAGATATTGCCGGATCCGGTAATATGTCGTCGTGGACGTCTCCGATCTATCACATTTTTCTATCTTATACTTTCGTTTCCTATATTTGTGTTTCCCCGCATCTCGTCCGGAGTCGGTGCGCTGTACGGAGTACTGCTTAATACATGCATGATTCGTCGTCTTAAGAGTCTGTCCGCGGAGAAGTTTATTAGAACTTGCCTAACTTAAGGTTCGAGCAGGCAGGTTGGGGGCATTGGAAGGTGGTGGTGGTACATAGACCAATGGTGGAAGTGAAGAATAATGAGAAGAGAAGACAGTACCTGTTATCCATCCATATCATAGAGACTACAAAAATATGTACAACAAAAGCTCAATAAATCGTCTCCAGCTTCTATCAACCATAGTGTATATACCATAGTTACCTCTACCGATGTCATTAGCCGTATACGCGGGCCCAATCCAAGCGGGGCCCATATTAATAGATATACTACCTACTCAGCTCTGTATATCAGCCCCGTCTCCGTTTACAGCTATTGATATCTTACAGTCACTGCTATATACTTCAATTGTATACTTTATTACCCTAGGAGATGTATTTACATACGTGTAATAAACATGGGGAGACTTGTCCTGTTTTCATGCACTGGGTAACTTCTAACTACCTTAGCTAAGGTACCTAGGTAAACGGATACACCTGTAGTAAAAAAATGAAAGGATACCCTCGGTTACACTCACAGCTTTGTTTGATCACTGATCAAGAGAATAAACCCTTGTAATGCATGGATATGAGACAGTCTGACAGGTTTTCAATACTTTAGTTCTAGCAGTGTTTGTATTTATGTCACATTGGTGTCGAATTTTCAATACGAATGACCCTACTGCTGACTAGCTGGTGTACTGTATATATATATATTGTATATTATGTATTGGGCATCGTGAATAGCAGAGCCTGGAAATACGTGTTCACGTATAGTGTACATGTGAAGGTTTGCCCGTGGGGAAGATCTAACCGAGTGAGTTTCCTGAAGGAGAGACAGTTGAAGTAAATCACATTGTCCAGTACATTGCTTGAAACTTCTGCATTGAATCCAACAAGACAGATAATGACTACAATGGATGAAAGGATAAACACCAACAAAAGAGACAGACAGAAAGAAAACAACAATAAACATACCCAACCCCCACCCCAATTGATAGAAACCAGACCAAACCAAGACGAGGGGAACCAGAACCAGAATCGCCTCTAATCCCAACAAAGCAGTCACCGAGTCAAACATACATGAATCATACTTACCTATCTACCTTACCTACCTGGGTAGGCACTTAGGTACCTCTCAAATCGAGGACTTTCACAGGATCAGACATCAAACCCGAGTCAAGTCACATCAAGAAAAGTCACGGTACATAACTATAGCGTACATCCATTGCCGAATTACAAACTTTCATGGCTTGCATTCCTGGTGTGGGCTTCTAGCCCAAGACGGATGGCTGTGCAGGGAAATCATGCAATGCAATTGCTGGCACAAGTACCATCATCCTACTACGCTTCTCCTCTTCTCCTCCCCCACTATCTCACTCTCACTTACTCTCTCTGACTCTCTGGTCATCATTCCTTTACCCATTGGGGATGGGGATGGATGACAGTGCGATATACGCGCAGCGCAAGAAATACAGCGGACCAGACGTAAAATAAGAGATCAACCATCCACGTGTTAGTACGATGACAGGATAGTCCGGCAAAGAGGAGAAGGCGAGAGCGAAGGAGGGGAAACAACGACAACGCGGGTGATATCGTCTCGTCTCGTCTCGTCTCGTCTCCACTTTCATGTCTTACAGTTACAGGTTTCCATCCATTCATCTATTCATCAACGGTAGCAAATACCTAATTCGCATATACGGTCTCCCCTCGTAAGCTCACTTTCGGGCACCGACGCAGAGCCCATGACTGGCTCCTGGGCCAAAAAAACGACCAGGTAGGTAGGTAGGTAGGTAATAGTGCTAGGTAGAGGGTCAGCTGAACCATGGACGGATTTGCACGCGTGCAGCTAGGTGTGGATATCGCTTCGCTGATGGACCATGGGTCTTCGCGCCGTGGAGCTAACGGCACGTCGGACGGGCCGGGTGCGGCGCGCGGACTGCCAGCCCATAACATGCATGCATGCAGTGAGTGAGTGAGTCTGAGGATGATTGATTGATTGATGAAAGGGGGCCTTGTCCCCATGCCCCCTCATCTCTTGTGTCGATTACATTGACACGAAGACGCCCGTTATTGGGGGACTGGAACTGGCGGTAAAGAAAACCGGGGGCCTCAGTGGATGGAGTGAATATCCTAGTGCTGCATTGGGGGGCGGTAGTGGGAGGAGAAATGGCCTCGGTAGCAGGGGTACAGAAATAATCATTTGGGAGAGAGAAAAAAAAATACAGAGAGAAAAACAAGCGAGTGCACATCCTATGGACCATCATGGGTACGAGAAGTGAGCCCATTATGGTGTACAGACGTGATCCATCGTGGTGTCTCTAGCGTTCCCCTCCTTGGTGGCTGGATTTGATGTTGTTACAGTTCACACTTGTGTTCAAACGCAAAGACGACATGAATTTCATTGCAAAGTATAAAACATCCCAAAAAGAGACATGAGATAAAAAGTATAAAGACCGCCATGATGTTGAGGCCATGACGAGGAACGAAACAAAATAAACCTACGCTGTCAAAGACCCAATATTGACATTATTGTCGACACGGCTCAATACGATCGAGTAATAGTACCCTTGGCTCTAACCGTCAGATTCCGACTCCGAGCTGATATCTGGGCCCACTGTGTCAGGCATGACGACGCTGTTGAGATACGTAACCTGTTTCCATCATGGAACCCCCCGTTAGCCAGAAAAAAAAAAGAGAAAGAAAAAGACAAAAAAACAAAGAAAATAAATAATCTTTTTTTTGTCCCTGACACCCTTGCCACCCCTTTCGAGGTGACCGACATCGGTGGGTATCCTGGCGCCCAAGGGCACACCGCTGAATTGGATCACAGAGTATGAGGATGGGGGGCTCAAACAGGGATGGGACCAGAGTTTGTCACTGATACGGCGGGGACTGAGATCCAATAGACGCAGACGCGGACAAGCGGAGAAGGGAACCAGGCAACGGCTGGGCACCAAGAGGGGAGGGGGCTGCTGGCTTACAAAGGGCTCCATTATACCAATGAGCGCTGCAATCCTATCCTGTGCTCCGGTACTCTGTAAATCTTCATCGGATAGGGGCTTCCCAATGGTGAAACTGCGCAGACGGAGCAGCTGGATGTTCTCGTTATCCAAATCAAACCCCTAGAGAGGAAAGGAGAGAGACATTGTTAGTGTTGTCATTGGACGAAGAGCCAGGACCCGCCGGGAAGGACAGAGGCTGAACCATGGAAACAAATGCGACGGTGTCGAAAATTCTTCGTGACCAACGCAGACAGTGGGACAATATAGAGAGACTAGTGGTAATCCCGCTCTCGACCCAAAAGTAGAAGAGTTTTGGGTCGGATGGGGAAGTCCCAGGGGGTGGCCAAACAATATGCCGGAACACAGTCCTTAGTATTATTAGGCCTTGGGGCGAGGGGGAGGGAATCCTCTTCAGTAACCGGGTGGAAATGGGCGGGAGTGGTGGTTGGGACCATAGGCACCAACTGGCAAGGAAAGACGGGAAAAAAAGGGTGTGGCCCAGACACGGGTAAGCTCGAGTCGGTGCTATCCGTGCGCGGCTGCTGCGCTTGTCCCATCAACAACAGTGCGGCGATCAACTCTGCTTTCCCACCCCATGACGCTGTGCATGTCCTCTTCGTGATGATCGTGAAGTGCTTAGACTATCGAAGTCTAGCGAAAAAGGGTTTCGACATAAATTGATGCCTTTGCGGAGAAAGGGAGGCGCAAGCGCCGAGGAGGTTGACTTCGCAGACACAAGAGCCTCAATGGAGCCGATTCACCCAAAAAAAGTGGACCAGACAGTCTCTGGCACTATCTTCTGGCATATTTCGGCCAATTCAGCCATGAATCTGGAACATTGCTCTCCTGGATTGATGAAAACCCTGGCAGAACCCGCGTGGGTGCAGTGCTAATGAACAGGACGTGTCGCCCAGCCGTTGAGACGCGACCGGAAGCCCGTCAGGGTACCCCATCGATCCGCAAGAATCACCTCGCAGTGAAGAAGATCATTCCGAGATAGATGGGTTGCAGAGTATTGGGGTGATGGCATGGACTGATGGCGATGACGTTGGGGGAGGTACAAGAAACCAACACTAGACGGAAAGAAATACTCAACGCACCTTGGGTTTGGTCTTGAGCGCGCCTTCCTTGTTTTGGTCACAAAAAGCGTCCACCACTTCGTCCTCATCATTAGGGACCCCCTTGAAGAATTCCTGTCGAAGACCTTTCTGCCTGAGGATAGACGTCAGGCGGTCCGAATTCGTGTCAATATCATGTCGCAGGAGCGCAAGCTTATCAGCTTCGGGATGCCAGAGTCCAGATCCTAAAGCCCGGGTGGGTTAGATATAAGGATCATTTGTTGAGATAAAATGTGGATCGTTTCCTCAGCCAGTGCCCACGTCGAATGACTGGAGCGTTCCAGTCGGACCGATCTGGGAGCAAGAGGGGGCACAGGATAATAGGTTCTGTCCTCAATCCTATTTGTTCGCTCGGAAATGGTGGTCTCCAATACCAAACAGAGAGGACAGGCAGGTGGGCGCAGGAATGGCTGCAGTTGCGAAAAATGATGATGGGTCTACTGGAACTCACCGACAAAACAGGACCCAGGCTGGCAGTGGACGTAATAAGCAGCATAAGGGCCCTTTTTCCCTGTACGCGACCTGATTGCGCGCTTAGCTAACTCGCATATTCTGTGTCCAGTGTCGATTTCTACTCACCAGGCAGCTGAAAAGTGTGTCTATGCGCAATCGAAGATCAGCGGGCTAGTTTGATAATCCCCGCAGTCCCCGGCCTCAGTCCATTACAATGTGGGAAGGAAAGAGAGGGTTCCGAAGTGGTACATACCTTGTACGGGGTAGGATTCTTGCTGAATCTTATGTCGCGGTGTATGCGAAACACCTGTCGCGGGCCTCGTGCGTTAATGCAGGGGTACGATACCCTGGCCCTGCAGGGGGGTGGAACTCACTAGATCTTTGGCAGGGAGCGGCGGGATTGTGCCGTCCACCTCCTCGATCTTGTCCGTGAAACTCAAGACAAAGTCCTCCCAGTCTTTCTTGGCGGTTCGGAAATCCGGGTCGTGTGCTACCAGCCAGACCTCCAAGTTAGCCCGGGAGCGTCATCCAGGGAGCCTGCTATTTTTGCGGCGCCTACCCTTGAGCCAGGCCCTTTCGTTGTTTTTGGCTAGGTCCTGCAGAAACCGAAAGGTGTTGGGGTGCAAGGTCGTCTCCTGGTAGGGGATAGATCCTGGAGATCGCGCTCGTGGTTTCTGGATGAAGACCTCTTTCCCAGGTCCTAGGCCTGTGGTAACGCCCTCTCTCCACAACTCCTTGTCGCTGGCAGTATCTTTTCCATCTGCGACTCTACCTCTTCCTTGCGATTTTCTCTGCGATCCCCCTTGCGATCCCCGCTTGGCTCTTTTGGATGCCGGCCTTGTGGCTGCCTCGTCGTCTGTAGACTCCTCCTGTTCTGACGCCTCGTCGGAAGGTGTGGAGAACTCGGGTTCCTCAGCGGCAGAAAACGAACTATCCGAGTCTGATGGTTCGGACGAGACGTCCGTCTTGCTCTGGAAATACCTACTTTTCTTGGTGGTGGACCGGACAGGCTCGTCATCCGGGGAGTCGGGGTCAGCCTGCGCCTTAGGCCTGGACTGAGAAGCAGCGGCCAGTCTGCCAGACGCGCGCCTTTTGGGGGTCGGCAGTGGTGCCGCCGACGCGGGAACGGGCCGAGACGATCGACGAGGCATGGGTTAGCAGAATAATTATTAAATCTTTCAATATTTCCCTGTGTAATTTGAAAGGAAGCGTTGTCTGTCAAGTAACCAGACAGATCTTCTTGATAGAATAGAAAAAGAGACGGGAAAATAAACGATCTTTTTTTCTGTCTCTTGTTTTTTTGATGAATTGAAAATAAAACCAATGGACGTGCGGTCTTTGGCGATGACGACAAGGTTCTTTACTAGTAGTCGGTCGTCCCCTAAAAATGTCCTGTCGGGGCCTGTGCAAGCAAAGACGGGCCCCCCTTTAGTTACCCGGAGCTACGGGAGTTCGTATGTATTAGACGGTGTGTATTGATACGTTTTCTTACTCTTTTCTTTCTTCCTTTCTTATTTCTTATTATTTTTGAGATATTACATGTTACATGTCAACATTTATATTATTAGTTGACTATCAATACATAATAATTATTACCATCATTATTCTAATTAAAATAACTATTGTTGGAAAAAGTGAACTGGCGCTGTTTCCGCAGAGACTAAAGCTGTTAGTGTTGTTGCGGATTCTTTTTTCTTTTTTCTTTTTCTTGTTCTTTTCATGGATTCCTCGTTTTGTTTCCCGTATTGGTTTTTTTCCCTGTGGTATTTGGTATTTAATACCCGAAGCGGTATTTTTGAATTACGGTATAACCAGAGAACAGAACAGAAAACGGAGAACAGAGAACAGAACAGAGAAAATCATAAGGTAGGGACAGACAGAAAGGGCCAAAAATCAGGTAAGAAGAGTATCCTCACCTACAGAAGCTTTGGTTCTAACTTCGTCAGTTTACTGGATCGCTCTATCAGTGTCTCGTCCAAGAACAAAAGAGCTTGTTCATTTTCAATTTCGAATCTGGTTCACTCGTATCCGGCCCAATAACCTGGACACATTCTCACTGCGCCTCTCTGCGCCATCGTTCTGGGCACAAAACGACCCCAATCCGAACCAAAGGGTAAAAAGGCCATATCCATTACGGTTTACCAAGTAGTATACGAGAAGAAAGAAAGAAAGAATTCAAGCAAGAACCAAAACCATGAGCGGGGTCCAACCAGCCAACGCCGACGCCCCCATCCCCTCGATCTTCGAATCCCGCAAACGCAAGATCCTAGCGGAACTCTCTGTCCCAGACGCAGAGTACACGGATCTGTCGCCCAAGGGGTCCGTGGATGTTGCGATCCGCGATCTCATCCGTGAGATTAATGATGTCCCGGGTCTGGTCACGACGAGTAGTTGCGCTGGGCGGATTAGCGTTTTCCTTGAGGGGAGGAAGAAGGTGAAACAGACGCAGCAGCAACAGCTACAGCAACAGACGCAAGAGGAGGGAGAGGCAGGAGGACAGGCGCGTCAGTTTGTCCCGTCTGGGGGGAAGGGTGCGGGGAGGTGGCTGTTTGTTTCTCATGATCCTTTGTTGGAGGGTGAGGAGTCTGAGGGACGGTGGCGGGGAGAGGCTGGTTCCTTTTCTTCGTTGCATGAGTTGTTTGGGATGGTGAAGGGGGATGGTCGGCCTCCTAGGGTGGGTGGAGATGGAAGTGGAAAAGGTGGGAGGGCTCCGCGGTTGGTGCGCTTTCATTATGATCCTATGGTATGTTTTCTTATTCTCTTTCTAAAGCCTCGAATGAGCCAAACTAACCATCCAAATAGATCCTACATATCATGACAGCTACGCTCAATCACGCCAATCCCGTCTTATCAGCTGCTTCGAGCGCCGGATTCCGCGAAAGCGGACTGCAGGGTCTCCGCTGTCTGGAGGGAGAGGACGGACCTAGTCCCATTGTCGCTGTTCGCTCCGCGGGACTGTCTCTCGAGTCGGTAATTGGGTACTGCGAGGATGACGGTGATGATGGTGATGACGACAGTCAACCAGTTGTGCGAAGCTTGGTCACGGAAGAGTACCTTGAGATGTTGATCGCTATATCGAACGAGCGGTTCGCTGTCAACGATGAGCGGAAAGAGCGATTCCGGGCGTCGCTGTCGAAAGCCTACTCCGTGTCGGGGCCTGGCGGTACCAAGTCCAAGGGGAAGGCGAAGCCTCCTGGGTGGGAAGATCCTGAGGCCCGGAGGAAGAGGATGAGGGAGGAGGGGTTGATGAGGAAGAAGCTACTTGACAGTCAGGGTGAAGCTGAACGAACGTCTCGAGATGGTGAAGACGATTCGATTGACAGCTGACGATGTTACGAATAATCAATAAAAAGTCATTTGATTGTATTCATATGGGTCTGGTCTCAACGATAAAACTAACGAAGCTCAATAAACAAATTGTGGAGGGTAAATGAAAGCAGGATCGAATGGTCAAATCCATTGTCCTCTCCTATCTTCCTTGAGTTGTTCAACGAAAAACACTGTTCAACGAAAAAGACATAGGGCATGATACCACATCAGATAAACCTAGCTTCTTGCAAGCCAAATTCCAGTCAACGTTCAAGCCAAATTTCACAAACCATGGTGCTTATCCTTCCTTCACAAGAGACCTGAAAATACAGTAGTCCAGTTGTACCAAGACCTGAAAAGCAATGGGCAGATGGCATAGGGTGGTGATAAGGGTTGGAATAGAAAAAGAAACTGGGAATTGGAAAACATGGGATGGGCATAATACCCGAAACGCGTATGAACAACTAGAGCAACAATTGCAAGACCAAACGAAATCAAAAGAAAGCCAGGCCCAATATCATTCAGTATTCGTCATCAAAAGGGGTCTCAGACGACAAGATACAAGCAGGAGTGGACCGAGTAATGCGATGACCAGGAACTCCTCCCGGAATGCTAGTAGCAGGTAGAAGCAGTTTATGATTCCAGGTTGTGTCCGTAGCATGGCGGACATGGGAACTACCGACAGCCAGCATGTCGCTCGCGCGGCGCGAAACCATAGCAGACGATTCGGCGTTCGAAGCTGGGAAAAACTGCGCGTGAGTGCTGACGCTGCTGCCCTGGGTGTTACGTCTCGCGGACGGGGGTCCAATGGCGAGGTTCTGGAAACGCGGGACGGGCGTGTTGTCTCGGTCGTTCAACAAGCCGCTCACGATGAGATTGCAAAGGAGGTCCATCTCGTGCCTCGATGCGTCTTCCCATGTGGTCTCCTTGGCTACGGCTTCGGGCCACTCGAACCACACGCGTCCGTAGGGAGAATCGAGGCGGTAGTTATGCATGGGGAAAGTATTGACCAGACCCATGATTTCGAGGCCGTCTGTGGTACCCTGGGATATCAATTTGGCGTAGTACTATCCATCCAATGACGTGTCAGGTCCTTGGACTAAAACGGGACGAGATCATGGGGAGAAAGGGGATAGGATAGTACATACCATGAGGCAGTTTTCGTCCTTGGTAGGCTTCTTAGCCAAGGTGTCAAAAGGAAACCATCTAGACATATCAGGGAGCTTGACGGCATCTCCTACATCCTGTGCATTGATGCAAAGCGTGTATTTCTGGCGATCGTTGAAAGCTGGGCAGTTAAGCCCAGCGAACAAAAGATCACGGACCAGTCTTTCATCAAGGCCCATGGTGTTTATTCTTTTGATGCGGGATACAAGTGAGATCATATGGCGGTTGGTCATTGTAAACAGCTCGTTGCGCTCATGTACGCTGTACAGCCTGGTCGCATACCACGGGAACTGTGCGAGATGAGCAATGGTGACATGGATAGAGGGGAAAATATACGACTGATCTAGGAAGCATACCTTGTAAAGAGTGCTGATCGTTGATTCATAAGTCCGCTGGGGACATTTGGCTCCAAAAGGTGACTAAATAATTCAATCAATACCTGATCTTGCAAGTGGGGATAAAGGGGGAGTGAGAGATACTTACACGATGAGGAATCTCCGCATGACGAATGGCCCCAACGATCTCCTCACTGGTAAAGAAGCCACAGAACCCAGTAGAGAATCTGTCCATGTTACGCAGCTCGGTTGGGATGCCATCATTCCAGATAATGCACTTAGCGCGAGGGAACAGATCATGCAAAAGAGCATCTTGAGAGCTCACTTCCACCGCAACATGGCGACTTCCCATACGAGGAGCGCGGCCAGTTTCATAGATACTATTGATGCGAGCGACGGTCTCATATGCATTCTCTCTAGTCCGAACCTCGACATAGCAGTCCATCGTCTTTGCAGTGGATCTTTCCATGATGATGTGGACCGCGCAGCCCTGGTTCGGTGCAATGAGCTGGGCACCGCGGCCGACAAACTGCATGATTTCCCATTTGGTGACCGAGTATGGTATCTGTTTATATGTTATCAAATACTCTTTACAAGGGAGGGCGTAACCACGCTCGCTACTAACGTTCGAGATCTTGATCACGCCGAAATTGGGAGGCTCCCTCAGCTGCACGAGACTGCCGATTGGCAATTCACTTGCCAGAGCGTACTCATCGATGTCCTCAACACGTTTGTGCCAGAGTGGTGGACCTCCACCATGACTGGTTTCATTTGCATGGAGTGGCTGGGTCGGAGGAAGGCTAACAGCACGGCGAGAAACAGGGGAAGCATTGCCAAATTGGGGCTGGTAGAGGGAATTATGAGCCACAGAGTCTGGGGCAGGTAACTGCAGCATCTGACTTCTGTTTGCCGCACCATGCAGCGTCGAGGTAGGGGTTTGAGTCGGCCAAGATGAGGTCTCCATGGATCCAGCTGGACCAAGGCCGCCATTGCCAGCAGGGAGAGACTGTCTGGTCGGAGTCACTGGGATATCACCAAGGTTCTGGGAAGCGCGAGGGCCAGGAAGGTAAGAGTAATGGGGAGTATTGGAGTACGAAGTAGCGTATCCCTGAAAGGGATCGCCTGTCTGTCTATGATCCATCTAGCAGATCCTCGTGTGGTAGATATCCACGCTGATGATTTCTAGCTGTGGTACGAGATGACAGAAGACGGGAGGAAACAAGAAGACGGTTGAGATCGGAGAACAAGTAGGAGAGTAGGAGAGGGAGAGTAGAAGAGGGTAGTGATTCAAGAATGGTTTGAAGAAGTGGGCTCAAGACCATATATCAGAAACTTCGGCTACAAATCCAGTGTCGAGGAGCTGGGGCAATCACTAGTTTCATGTTTGACATTTTAAGGACAAGAGGTGACAGAAAGGATTCATGAACAAAAAGACATTACCGCGCTGGCAATGAATATCCTCATTCAAACGTTCCGCGAAGTGAATTGGCCGGGCAGCTTCTTAGAGACTAAACGCCCATAATGGGAAGATTAGTATTTGGATTGCTTGCTCGGCGACGGACTCGTTCGTGGATATCATCTTCTCTGGCACATTGTGTGTGTGAGAGCATGGATTGTATCACTGGTATTATTGGTAGTATCATTGGTAGATGGGGAGCTTTGGAACTGTGAGAGTGAGAGTAAGAGTATCATGCCTGGAATTATTTGTTTGATGTCCAGTTTACCTCTAATGTCATGAGGAGTATAAATCAGTCACCAACCGCAGTTATTAGACTACAATGAAACCAACCCCGTTGCCATCAGTCCTTCACGCTATATCATGGGCGGTAATGTGCCAGACAATGCAAACCCGCGTGATTGGCTTTGATATAGCGGGTCTATGGATTCACGCCCCATAGAAAGAGTGGCGGCCAGTTTCAATGTGCACGCAGTGTGAAAGTGATCAGATTTCATTTCTTACATGATTATTGCCTGGTTGAAAGGGCAGGCTGAATTCAGATCCAAATAAAGTTCGGCAAATGTAGAATAGAAGCATGCTGCAAGCTTAAGTTTCGAATAATATTGTAGATCTAGGTAAGGGAATAAAGCATCGAGCACCAATGCCACCCCCGGCACCAGCCTAGATCGTCCGTGCAATAGCTGCTGGGCAATAATATGATGGTAGGAAGAGAAGCGCTGTAACGGCATTTAATCAAACTGTGGACACTATTAGCTTCCGATCTATACAGCCAACAGGGGGGTAGATAATCACCGGTGTCAAGAACGATTCGGCAACGAACCGAGCACGAGCATTCAACTGCAAAACGTTAACATTCCAGACTTCCCCACGGGGGTAGTAGAGCACGACATACGAAGAGCTTCATTTCCGAGATCTCCTTATCGACCTCCTCCATGAACTGAATAATGAAGTCCACCAGCTTGTGTTTCAACATGGCCTCGGTGTGGAAGTTCGTGATCAGGAACGAAATATCATATCCCTATTTCCCGATTAGCACCCTCCAGCTCCAAGCACGATAGTGGACCAGAGTCTCGAACCTTTACTGGCTTCCTCCGCAGGATAAAGAAGGACTCGGCACGCTGTGTCAAGAACCGGGTGAACTTGTGGACCAAGATATGCTCAATTTCATCCGCCTGCTTTATCCTAATGCTGACACGGACACTGTTCACACTGGGTTCGATGAACACCTTTTCGTTCTCATTGCGCGAAATCGTAAGGGGGTTGAGGAGGAGTTCGGGGGAGCTCTGGGCTTCGATCTCGGGGACGTTATGTCTCTCGGCCGTTTGAGACGCAAAGTTGGACACCGCGAGTGCAGCAGTCAGCGAAGACCGAACACACTGGAGGTACGGGCGAAGTGATTGAGACTGTCTTGTTAGCTTCGTCCGCTTCCCAAAGAGGGACCCAGCCCAATCAGCTCACCATAATGAGGGTGACGTATGCTGCGGTATCTCAAATTGCTGATGATGGTGCTCTGTCAAGACAACCTTCTGCGCGGACGATTCCAGAGTAATACCGGGTCCAAAACCAACAATCCTCAGAAATAACTCCGCCAAACCAGTGGTCTTTGTATGGAATGCGACGCTGAATTGGAGGTTGGAGACGGGGGTGGAGGAGGGCGGTTTCCCATCAGGAGTCCCGCTAAGCGGCGGTCCCATGTTTGTTGTGTTTGCAGTATTTGCCCCACGCCCCCGATCGCTCACTGACGTTGCTTGAATTGATGCCTCAACCACTCTTTGCAGCACCTTCGTTCAGAATCAATCCCTTTTGAAGACAACCTAGAGACCGAGATTGAGCCACATTAAACATGGCTTCTATACCGAGTATGTACACTATCTAGTTATGAAATGCATGTCGTATCTCTTCCATCTGTTGCTGACGGTCGAACCCAGTCATTGTGAAGCATCAGGGTAAACGCCATGAGGTCGATCTGGACCCCTCGTCGAACGGCGAAACGTTGAAATATCAGCTTTATTCATTAACTGGTGTCGAGCCCGATCGACAGAAGATCTTGGTTAAAGGAGGACTGAAGGATGACACGCCATTGTCTTCCCTGAAGGCCAAGCCGGGCCAAACGTTCATGATGATGGGCACACCATCCGGCGGTGAAGGTTCTGCAGATCTAGGCAGACCCAAGGAGGTAGTCAAGTTTTTGGAGGACATGACGGAAGCGGAGGCTGCACGAGCGGAGGGCGCTACTCCTGCCGGTCTGCAGAATCTCGGGAATACCTGCTACCTCAACTCAACGCTCCAGACGTTGAAGGGTGTTCCGGAGCTCCAGGAGGCGCTTCAGCTGTACAAGCCATCTGCAGGTGGCGCTGGGGGATCGAGTCTTTCGGATCTGAGCAGTTTTGGTTTGGGTGGTCTCGGCTCCTCGATGGATCTTACGGCGTCTCTACGGGATCTCTTCAAGCAAATGTCGGAAACACAGGAAGGGTTTCCGCCGCTCATGTTCCTCAATGCTTTGAGAAACGCCTTTCCCCAGTTTGCTCAGAGAGATCGAAACGGCCATGGCTATGCTCAGCAGGATGCCGAGGAGGCCTGGTCCCAGATTGTCTCCCAACTACGGAACAAGCTGACGATCAAGGAGGGCGAGGGTGAATCAGCTACCGAGGTGTCTTTCGTGGACAAGTACCTTGGGGGGCGATTTGAATCAATCACTGAATGCGACGAGTCTAGTGCCAGGGAGGCTGGGGAAGAACCGTCGCGCAGCTCGGATGTCTTCTACAAGCTTGACTGCCACATTGGCAAAGAAACCAACCATTTGCACGACGGTATCAAGGCGGGTTTAGAAGAAAAGATTGAGAAACATTCGCCTACTCTTGGCCGCGATGCGGTGTACACGAAACGCTCCAGCATCGCTCGTCTGCCCCGGTACCTGGCTGTGCATTTTGTGCGCTTCTTCTGGAAGCGTGAGACTCAGAAGAAGGCCAAAATCATGCGCAAAGTGACGTTTCCCCATGAATTAGATGCGGTTGATTTCTGCACCGACGAGCTGAGAAATCAACTTGTCCCCATCCGAGACAAGGTGCGCGAGATCCGAAAGGACGAGCTCGACATTGAACGCAGCAAGAAACGTCAGAAGATCGCTCGTAAGCGTGAGGAGGATCAAAAGGCCGCGGGTGACTTGGGGTCCAGCATGGAACCGATGCAAAAGAAGAAGGCCACCGAAGAGAACAAGGAGACTGATAAGGCGGCCGACAAGACGACCGACAAGACGACCGATAAGGCTACTGACAATGATGCGACAATGACCGATGCTTTCAAGACCGATGCCGATTACGAAGCCGAAAAAGCCGCCTCTATTGAGACAGCCCGACAGGAGCTGTCTCGGCTACTCGACCAACAGGGTGCTCCGGATGCTGGTACCAACAAGTCCGGTCTCTACGAGCTCCGGGGTCTGATTACCCATCAAGGCGCCAGTGCTGACAGCGGTCACTATACCGCGTATGTAAAGAAGCAGGATGGCGATAAGACCAGCGAAACCGGAACTTGGTGGTGGTTCAATGACGAGAAGGTGACCGAGGTGGAGGGAGAAAAGATCGAGACTCTCTCCGGCGGTGGTAAGCTCCCTTTCCCTTAAACTTTATTCTTTCCAGATGACCATTCTCTAACGATATATCTCTCCAGGCGAGTCGCACTCTGCCCTCATCCTTCTCTACCGCGCCATCGACCTGCCGACTGCGAATTAGATAGATAGATGGTATCCCATTAGTCCACGTGGTAAACAAAAGCCTAATGTCACAGACCGATGATCAGAGGTTCCAATTGGTTTTCTCGAAGTATTCACATGCATTACTACCTTGTCCTACTACTGCTCTCCGTTGTATGATCTCCGTAGATGGATAACCTCCCGTCCTTGTGATTGTGGCATGACGCCGTCGGTGCTTAGTCACCTATCTTAGTTCCAGTGAGGTCATTTATGACAGCGCATTAGTCAGCATATACAATGGATTGTGTCGGCATAAAGAATAGTCTTAGGCCGGACTGGAATGTACGCGGGTGGAGAGAACTTCCCGTCCCGCCCAAATACCCCGATGGCCTCAGGCCCAACTCCCTTGCCTCCCGCTTTATTTTCTTTACGAGGGAAAAACCGATTATTTCGCCGCGTCTTCATTACCACTTTCATTTCCACTTACTGTTCCTTATCATAAGCTCACTAACTCCTCCGGTATCGACTGGACTGATTTCTTTCCCCCATTACACTCTTCCCGTCCCCGCAGAGGTCGCATCTCCTTTTCCTCTGTCGCGTCAACTGGTTCGTGTGGCGTCTGTTTCCTTTTTTGAGGGGATCCTTGTCCTAACACGTCTTGCCCCCCGATTTTACTCTTCTTTCTTTTGATTTATTTTATTTTATTTCTTCCTTAATCTTCTTACTTTCTTTTCTACATTCTTTTTACGGATAGATTCAGTCCCATCATCAGTAGCCATGGGTATTCCGTGAGTTTCTCCATGCGCTGGGCGTGTCGGCTATCGGCGCTTTACGCGCTCGCGATGTGGTCATGGCGCTCGCAAACGGGCTTGCTTACTGACAGCTGGGTAGGATGTTCCACGAGTCCACCTCCGCCGAGGTCCCCAAGAGCAACCCTATCAAAGACCCCTGCGCCGCCGCGCGCTCGACCATCCGTCGCCAGGGCGCAATTCACCGCCAGGCGCGTCCGGGTTCCGCCTTACGAAGCGCAACTCTCCGGCCTCCTTTCCCTCGCCCGCTAGCAGATGAGATCGAGCGGGAAGCGAGTGGGTTACAGCGTCCAGTTCGCTCTCCATTCCCTGACTCTAGTTACGGCGAGGATCTCTTTGATCTGGCGAATGGTTTTGTGGATTCGAGCAGCCAGTCGACCGGTCAGCGGTTGCTTAACGAGGTGCTCCGCCATAGCCGCCCGACCCAGCGGCTGAGGTTGCCACGCATTCGTCCGCTGCTTCGTGACGAAGTCGCTAGTGGACAGCCCGATCTTCAATCGCCCAATTTCACGCCGCGCTTCGCGCCCGCGGTTGCGTATAGTCGAACGGAATCTCCGCGCCCGCAGTCACATCCCCCTCCGCACCCGCACCCGCACCCGGAGGTCCTTCGTCTATCTCCGTTCCCTCGACCGGGAGGCGATGTCTCTGTCGGGTCGACAGTGCCCCTGCTACGACAAGTCGGTCAACGATCCATCAACGAACCGAACGGCCCCAACCGCGACACGGCCATCGACGGTCTTGGGGATCGCCAACGAAGTGTTAGCCCAGATGATGACCATGCCAACAATGCGTGGGAGACCCTATTGACAACAATCACCCCGGACGCCAACCTTCCCAGCGCCGATTCCTCCTTCACCTCCGCTTCTGCATCGGGAACGAACGCATCGACCAACGGGACGTCCAGGAGTTCTGCCACCTCCTTTGGAAACCTCCCCAGCTCTCTAGACCCCAGCGCCGCAACAGTGCATATGGTGCTGGACCCTTATCCGGAACTATCCAACCCCTGCGATTACAGCTCCACCGACTCCGACTCGGACTCGGAGTCCGGGTTCGACTTGACTCACCAGTCTCTGTACCGGCGCTACCGTCGCATGCGCCGCATGGACGCTATGCGACGCGCTCAGAATCTCAACTCAGCCATGAACACCCAACCTCCTATCCCTGCCTTCTCTTTCGCACTCTCCGATTCATCCACCGACCCAGATCTGCAGCAGATGCATGCGATCCTGGACCGCCTTGCTCGGCGGGAGGACATTCCCGAGAATTGGTGGGCGGCAGCTGGCCTGTCGCGCATCATTGGCCATCGACTCGGCGCAGAAGCAAACGAGTCTTCCAACGGCTCGGACCGCCCTGAACCGAGACGTTGAAACGCATGCCTTTCTCCATCTTACATATCATTTTTCTATTTTTTTTTTTTTTTTTCCACTTTTCGCGGTGATTTCTGTTTGCTTAGGAAGGTCGGCATCATATCTAAAGGTCTCAGCGAGAATTTCATGTTGGGCGTTCATTGGCGTTTGTTACAGGGGGAATGGTTGGCGAGCCATATTTTTTCCACCCAGGGACGTTTAACCGTGCCATGGGGTTGATTTCCAGTAAATGGCTAGCTATAGTCAGTCATATCTAGGGGTGGTTTGCATTCATACATCAGATTCATACATCAGATACCACATTCGCAAGTCAGTTTGGCGGATGCAACTCCATTTTTCCCATTTTTCTCTTAGCATAAAAGTTCAAAATTTTTTCTATAGTAGTATACAGTAGTATGAAGTTGTGTATGACCCACCCCTATAGTAGACAGTTAATAATTGGTCCAGGTTTCTAGAAGCCATCAACCGGAATTGGTGGAATGTATTGAACTAATGGGGGGTTGTCCCTGTGACGTCGACGCATGAAGCTTCCAGACCGCAGTACCCCACTCCGACGGCGTGGGAAGCCCCGCCGATGGCGTTGATGTTTTATCATTGTCTGTCTGCTCGACGTACTCGGCGAGATATTTGAGGCTTCCACGACCTGGTTGGAGATTTGATTACTCTCAAATTATCTTCTATCGACGGATAAAGTTTTACGTGTCTAGGAACTTCCCTATCCGACCCGTGGCTATACAAACACTACGCGCACAGTCGCCGACTTCGGTGCTCGCTGTTTTAACTACCCTGTCTTTTTCAAGACTTCGCGCTTGTTGACGACATTTTAAGGGATTCGATCAACCATGGATCAGCAAGTCGACAGGCTAGTCGATAAGATCTGGGGTAAGCTCTCAACAATCAACATACACCACCCCTCTCTCTCCGACGATCAACCATTTCAACCCAGATCGGTCGCCAGCCGACCCCGCAGCACATTCACCCACACACGCGCACACACAGATAAAGAGAGCATAACTAACCTCACTCCCCACAGGAAAATACCAATCCACACCCCCAAACGCGCGCCTCCTAATAGCCGTCAGCGGCATCCCTGGATCTGGCAAAACCGGCCTCGCCACAACAATGGCAGCGCGCATCAACGCCCTCCACGCCGCAACCCACCCGCACAAACCCCCCATCGCAACCACAATCCCAATGGACGGATACCACCTCACACGCGCGCAGCTTGCGCAGATGCCCGACCCAGCGTACGCAGCCGCCCGGCGCGGCGCGGCCTTCACCTTCGACGGGGAGAAGTTTCTGAAGCTAGTGCGGGCGCTGCGGGAGCCTGTTACGGCGGAGACGAAGAGCGTGTATGCGCCGAGCTTTGACCATGCGGTGAAGGACCCTGTTGATGATGATATTGCGGTGCCGGCTTCGTGCCGGGTTGTGTTTTTCGAGGGGAACTATTTGAGTTTGGATCGCGATCCGTGGAATCGGGCGGCGGGGTTGATGGATGAGCTTTGGTTTGTGGAGGTGGATTTTGAGGTTGCTAGGGAGAGGTTGGTAAGGAGGCATGTGCTTGCGGGCATTGCGGAGGATGAGAGGGCTGCGGAGAAGAGGGTTAGGGAGAATGATCTTGTTAATGGGAGGGAGATTGTGGATTGTCGGTTGGGGGTGCAAGAGGTGATTAATAGTACGTTTGATCCTGGGTGGGGGAGTTAAGGTTCTTTAGGGGGTGAATTGGATTGAGATAATGAATTATGGGGGGAGTTGCTTCATGCTTGTTGAGCTTATGGGTTAGTTTTTGGGAAGCGTTCTACATATTCGTGGTATCTTGAGCGCATGAGTATGAGCGTTCTCGTCGCATGCCTGGGAGAATCCTGAGTATGGACTGTAAATAGATGGATTGGGCTGTTAGAGTAAGATTATCTACGGATCGCACTAATCAAGGCTCTATTCATAGCCAGTAATACCAAGTATGCATCATGCACATTCCAAACCCAAGGGATCTATCCACGATCCCGAATCTCTCCTTAATTCCATAGATTCATCTAGAACGATATCTCTTCTCTAGCAATCTATAGACCCAGGCCTGGCTACAAAACCAGATGCCAGTTCGATACCGGTATTTACCCACTGATATACCAGACTAACCCGTCCAGACCACTAATTTACGGGGTTCACCTCGTGTGGTCAATACTAAAAAAACACCGGGGGCAAAAACGCCCCGGGCGGATCGGCAGGGCCGTTACTCTTTCAGGGGGTGAGACAACTTAAACCATCTCAAAGAAGTCAAGCCTGCTTAGGCCCAAGGCAGTCTCTCCCTCACTTCCCTCCTGCGTCTTCGGTTTTCAATCCTCGTCCTTCACTCTTTTGCCCTCTTTTTCTGCGTTCATACTACACAGTCCTTCCTTTGTTCCTAGTCATTCTTTTTACAATTACCATCTACGCTCTTTATAGCCACTCACTGCTTGTGATTTCTTCGCGCTTACGGTTCCCCCCTATTCCGTCGCTCGCGATAACAATTCCCCCCTAACATCCCCGGAGTCTACTCTGTCGCGAATACTCCGTCCCGACGTCACCATGTTTTTCGCCAAGTCCGCTTTCCTGGTCTCGCTCCTGGCCCTCAGCAATGTTGTTGTTGCGGCCAACCCGTCCGCCTGTCTTCTGTCGGCTGTGGGGTATGTACAATCCGAATCGTGAGGATCGCGGGAGAGAGAGGCGGATCATAAGCTAACATTCACCCAGTCAGCAGGAGAACCCGGCCGACATGAAGGCCATGTGTGTCACCAACACCAAGCGCGTGCAGAAGGAGATCGCCGATTCCTGCGGAAAGGACAAAGAGGACGCTCTGAAGGAATACGCCGAGACCTGCGCCGACAACGACCACAAAGTTGGTAAGTTGCCAACCAATCCTTAGTCCACTTCGCACGAGGAAAGAAGACCTGTCTAACTCATGTAGAAATCGCCTCGAAATCCTCGGATGATTCCGCCTCCAAGACCGGTGGCTCCCACTCGAGCGACAGCTCTGCCTCCGCGACCGGCGGCTCCTCGAGCAGCGACGATTCCTCCAGCAGCGATGACTCCTCCTCCGGTTCGAGCACCAGCTCGTCGGCGTCCGCCAGCGCTTCGCCTTCTGACTCGGTCTCGGCTGGTTCGTCCGACCGTCAGGTCTCTGCCGCTGCGTTTGCCGCCGTCGTCTTCCTGGGTTTTGCCGCTACTATGTAAGAGGTTGGATTGGGTTGAGCTTGTGTGACACTGCGATATCGACGTTCGGAGTGCCGTTGACTGATACCTTTCTTTTCTCTGCCTGTTCAAATACCTTTCCACATTTGACCATATATTGAACCAATTATTGAACTCTGAGAGTGATATATACCATTTTTGGGGGGGCGTTGGGGTTACTGAATAGATGATTGAATAGGAGTGTAGACATTAGAGGTGTAGAACAACTCCCCAGTCTTGACTTGCATGACTCAGTCTCGCGACTGGCCAGCATGTAGCCCCCTGGATGCTGAACTATGTAGGAGTCCCCAGACTCGACGGTTGCAGCTTGGACAAATCAGGTCCAACGCCGAACGTAGGTACTCGTGTGTATTATAATTTTAGAGCGACCAGAAATACATCCGAGCACGCCTTGAGAAATAAATCAACACGTGTATCAATTGCTCCGACAATCGGTACTGCTTTACATCATCTGATACATCTTATCGCGTCGGAATGTGGCGTGAAGGGATACCCGTGACCTCCGCCCGGCGGAACCGGCAACTGGCCAAAATCTTAGTCAGTTCCGCCCGGCAAAGCAAGGGAAATCTTCTCCATTTGGGTCCAACACGAAAAATCGCGTTCCAACGCGTTTTGCCCCGGCGACATCAAATATCTCACCTTAGCCGCTCTCGCTGCCCCTCCGTCTTCTTTTGTTTCTTTCTTCTCATCCTTCTTCCCCTTCATAACTTCCTTCCCTTCCATAGTCAAGACCCTTCTTTTCTCCCCTTCCACGATTGCTTGTTTCAATTCTTCAACGCATATCACATTCTTCGAGGAATCTGTCATATACCCTTGTTTTCCTGGTCTCTTTTCACACGATTCTGCTCCAGCGTATCGCTGCTACCGTTGACGATGTTTGTCTACAAGAGAGGTATGCATGTATCCTAGCTTCTAAGTCTTTGCTCCTTGGCTGCATGGATTGCTTTACACAGTCTTTGGCTGAATCACTCTTGCCACTCGTGCTAATAACGTGCTAGATGGCCGCAAGGAACGCGTGCAGTTCGATAAGATCACGGCCCGTGTATCGAGACTGTGTTACAGCCTCGACCCCGAGCACGTCGATGCCGCTGCTATCACTCAGAAGGTCATCTCTGGTGTCTACCAGGGTGTCACCACCGTGGAGCTGGATAACTTGGTATGTTCTTGATGTGTGGCTGATGTTGATGTGAGGCAAACAAAATGGATGCTAACACAACGATGATGTGAAGGCTGCCGAAACTGCGGCGTACATGACCGTCACCCACCCAGACTACGCCATCCTGGCTGCCCGTATAGCCGTATCCAACCTCCACAAGCAGACCAAGAAGCAGTTCTCCTTGGTCATCTCAGATCTCTATCACTATGTCAACCCGAAAAACAATAAACCTGCACCGATGATATCGAAAGAAACATACGAGATAATCATGAAACATGCAGATGAGCTCAACTCGGCCATCGTGTATGACCGCGACTTCAACTACAACTTCTTCGGCTTCAAGACCCTGGAGCGGTCATACCTGCTCCGGGTCAACGGAAAGGTGGCTGAGCGCCCTCAGCATCTGTTGATGCGTGTTTCCGTTGGCATCCACGGGAACGACATTGAGAAGGCCATCGAGACCTACCATCTGATGTCCCAGAAGTTCTTCACCCATGCCTCTCCGACGCTGTTCAACGCCGGTACCCCCCAGCCGCAGTTGGCTTCGTGCTTCCTGGTTGACATGAAGGAAGACAGCATCGAAGGTATCTATGACACTCTGAAGACGTGTGCCATGATCTCCAAGACCGCCGGTGGTATCGGTCTCAACGTGCACCGCATCCGTGCCACTGGCTCGTACATCGGTGGTACCAACGGTTCCTCCAACGGCATCGTCCCCATGCTCCGCGTGTTCAACAACACCGCTCGCTACGTGGACCAGGGTGGCAATAAGCGTCCTGGTGCTTTCGCTATCTACCTGGAGCCGTGGCACGCGGATGTTTTCGAGTTCCTCGATCTGCGGAAGAACCACGGTAAGGAGGAAGTCAGAGCCCGTGATCTGTTCTTTGCCCTCTGGACCCCGGATCTGTTCATGAAGCGTGTGGAAGCCAACGGCGATTGGACCCTCTTCTGCCCCAACGAAGCCTCGGGTCTGGCTGATGTCTACGGTGACGAGTTTGAGGCTCTGTACGAGAAGTGAGTTTTCCCAATGACCCGAACAATGGACTAAATGGTATTAACGGTACTCAGGTACGAGCGGGAAGGCCGCGGCCGCAAGACCATCAAGGCTCAGAAGCTTTGGTACGCTATTTTGGAGGCCCAGACCGAGACGGGCAACCCCTTCATGCTGTACAAGGATGCGTGCAACAAGAAGAGCAACCAGAAGAACCTGGGCACCATCCGCAGCTCCAACCTGTGCACGGAGATCATCGAGTACAGTGCGCCGGATGAGGTTGCCGTCTGCAACCTGGCGTCGCTGGCGCTCCCCACCTTTGTGGATGCCGCCCGTGGCGAGTACGACTTTGGCAAGCTCCACGAGGTCGTCCGGGTCTTGGTTCGCAACCTGAACAAGATCATCGACATCAACTACTACCCGGTCCCCGAGGCCAAGAAGAGCAACATGCGCCACCGTCCCATTGCCCTGGGTGTCAACGGTCTGGCCGATGCTTTCCTGGCCCTGCGTCTGCCGTTTGACTCGGCCGAGGCGAGACAGTTGAACATCCAGATCTTCGAGACCATCTACCACGGTGCTCTGACGGCGTCGTCGGAGCTGGCCAAGGAGCTGGGCACCTACGAGACCTACGAGGGCTCCCCGGTCTCCCAGGGCATCCTGCAGTATGACATGTGGGACCGCACGCCGACCGACCTCTGGGACTGGGACGCGCTCAAGGCCAAGATCGCCCAGACGGGCGTGCGCAACAGTCTGTTGGTGGCTCCCATGCCCACGGCCAGCACGAGCCAGATCCTGGGCTTCAACGAGTGCTTTGAGCCGTACACGTCGAACATCTACTCGCGGCGAGTGCTGGCGGGCGAGTTCCAGGTGGTCAACCCGTGGCTGCTCAAGGACCTCGTGGACCTAGGCCTCTGGTCGGACAACATGAAGAACCGCATCATCGCCGATGGCGGATCGGTGCAGAACGTCCCCAACGTGCCGGCAGACATCAAGGCGCTGTACAAGACGGTGTGGGAAATCCCTCAGCGATCGATCCTCCAGATGGCCGCGGACCGCGGCGCGTACATCGACCAGTCGCAGTCGCTCAACATCCACCTGAAGGAGCCGACGATGGGCAAGATCACGAGCATGCACTTTGCGGGGTGGAAGATGGGCCTGAAGACGGGCATGTACTACCTGCGCACGATGGCGGCGTCGGCTCCCATCCAGTTCACGGTGGACCAGGAGCAGCTCAAGGTGGAGGACACCAACGTTGCCCGGGCGAACCCTTCGTTCAAGAAGCGGACGGGGACCCCGTCTGGCAGCACCGCCTACTCTGCGGTGCCGCGCACGCCGGAGAGCCCGGAGCCCAGCGACGACGCCCCAGCGGCGGCGGCGGTGGTCGAACCCACGCCGGCGGCGGAGACGAGCGCCAACGGCGAGGCCCCGAATGCGGAGGCCCCGGCGGAGGGAGAGAGCGAGGGCGACATCTTCTCGCAGAAGGTGCTCCAGTGCAGCATTGAGAACAAGGAGGCGTGCGTGATGTGCCAGGGTTAGAGTGGTAGGTAGTATTGACGAGGGATTTGGCGTCGGGATATCTTTTTTTTCTTCTGTTTTATTTTTGAATTTGTGGGTAATTATATCATGAGATGGATGTTTAACATGGGTATGTAAAAAGACAATATCAATATCAATTTATATTCTATATTATATTCTATATTATATTCTATATTATATTCTATATTATATTCTACATTCTATTCGTTATTCTACATTCTACATTCTACATTCCACCCCTGTAACTCTACCATTCCCCCTCTCCCCCTTCCATCCAAACAAACAACCCCCCGACACCGACACAGTGTAATCAAATGAAACAAACCGCTGTCAGTCAGTCAGTCAGTCAAGCAGAGTTGACCGATCAGTGTTACGAGCAGCCAAGCAATCCAGACCGACGCCACCGGGAAGGAAAAGTCAAAGAAAAAAACTCAACACGAATGAAAGAAAGGGCAGAAATAGCCGTCGAATCAGTGGTCGCTGTTTACCTGGTACCTTTTTTACCTTGTACTAGTACCTGAGTGTAAGGTAGGTGTTGGTTAGCGTTGGCGCCTTGGGGGGTTGAACTAGTTGGTCAGTCAGTCAGCGAGTAAGAAGGAGGGAGAGGCTGTGTGTGTGTGTGTGGGAATGTGTGGGAATGTGTGGGAATGTGAGGGAGGCGAGAGGGAGGCAATGGGAAGAAAGACCGCCATTGGGGTGTATCTCCACTCGGGCTGACCGGTGAGACAGAGCGAGGGACAGCAGGTTAACCAGAGGCAGACTGATTGGGTGGTGAGGGATTGGATTGAAATCTTTGCGTGGTGGGCTGCCTGAGGTAGGAAGGTGAAGGTTCAGGTCCAGGTTCAGGTACCACCTCAGGTATCATTTCGAGTCACCACTGTTACTGTCTGTTACTGTTACTGTCTCTTACTGGTTACTGTTACTGTTACTATTGCCTCAACACGGTGTGATTGATGGTTTACACACTATTTACCACATCCGTTTGTCTCTCTTTTCAGAATGAAAGAGTGAAATAGAAAGAAAGCAAGAAAGAGAGAAAGAGAGAAAGAAAGTATAACAAGGTAAGACACGTCAGAGTCCGTGTAGGATCAGAAAGATCCCGTGTTTTGTTGACCAGGAAATTGCTTGATTGAGATTGACCACTAAGAGAGGAATCGACCGATAGTTCTGGCTGGACCGCCTCGGGGGCCGTGGATCGGGACATGGTGATGGGCCATCGGTCAATACGAACGGATGATCCCCCTGAACCATCTTTGTTTAGGTTAGTCAGGAAAATAATAGCTGATTTTACCGTACAGTACACAGTACCTACTGTGTATTGTCTAGGGTGACTGGGTTAAGTTCAGGTACCGTCTAGTGTCTACGTAGGCTGACTCGGGTTCCTGACGTTCTGACTGTTCCTGCGTGGCCCCTCCAAAACCCGACCAGTCGTATAGCATCAGACGGGATAAAATACTCACCGAATACGTGGATGCATCGATGAATCGATCCACGTCAGACATGACAGGTCAGAGTTAGACTGTCTTTCTGCCCGATCTGGAGGAAAGAGATGAAGCTGTACGACAGTAATTTCGGATTGGTATCAATTCCCCTTCTGATTGATTGACTCCAATCTGACCGATTCTCAGGTACCGCTTCAAAGAATGGTACTGGTAAGATTCCCATGGTTCACGCCCGTCACGGGCTGGTTCGGTGGGCTCGGTGGGTCCGGGGGGGCTTTGACGTTATAGTACGAGGTAAGTTGGCCCGATTCATCCTTTTAGTCTTTTGAGTTTTGGGCCGTCGAGGTATCCATCTCTCGATTCCTTTCTCTCGTTTAAATACTCCTTCGCTTGTCCTTCCCTCCGTCGCGTTTTTTTTCTCCCTTCTTTCTTTCGTCTCACCACTCCTTCCTTTACTTGACAGCTTCTGTCGTTCTTTCTTTCATCCCCACACGCTCCACTCTCTTGCGCGTGTCTATCTACTCTACTATCACTATCAAGATTCTCTACTGCTGTGCAGTCTGGTCTTGATTCTCTCACTCTTTATCGTTGTCGATCTCTCTATCTGTGGCTTTTGAGTCCATCAATCTTTTGATCAATCCTTCCAACCCTACAATCAATACATTTCAGACCAAGAAATACGCTCAGTTGAAAAAAATGGCCCCCATCGCCAAATCTATCGCCCTGGCGGGTGCCCTCTGCGCCGCTCTGTCCTCCGCTGCCCCCGTCAAGCGTGAGAACATCGTCGTCTGGGAGACCTCCACCACCGTCGAGTGGACCACCGTGGATATCACCACCACCGTCTACCCCCCCGCGGCCCCCACCGTCCACACCTCCATCGTCAACCTGACGCCGGCCGTGCCGACCTCTCAGCCCCAGCCGGAGCCCACCGAGGAGCCTGAGGACCCGCCCAAGACCACCCAGACCCCTCCGCCCCCTCCCAAGCCCACCACCACTACCACCACTGCGCCTCCTCCGCCTCCCAAGACCACCGAGGCCCCTCCGCCTCCCAAGACTACGGAGGCTCCTCCGCCGCCGCCCACGACCACTCAGGCTCCTCCCCCTCCCCCTCAGACTACCCGGGCCCCTCCCCCGCCCGCGCCTACCTCCGGCGGTGGCCACACCGGCTCCTGCTCCAAGGACACCCCGTGCAAGGGCCAGGTCACCTACTACGACACCGCCACTGACCCCTCCGCCCCCAGCAGCTGTGGCTGGACCAACGACGGTGAGAGCGAGGCCGTGCTGGCCCTGCCCGTTGGCCTCATGAAGGACTCCGACTGCGGCCGCATGGTCACCGTCAAGTACGGCGGCGTCACCAAGCAGGGCAAGGTCGTCGACAAGTGCATGGGTTGCGACAGCTCCTCCATCGATCTCTCTAAGCACTTCTTCGGCGAACTCGCCGAGATGCTTGAGGGCCGTCTGCACGATGTGGAGTGGTTCATGGAATAAGCGTTGATCGCTCGCTAGCATCGCTTATCTCTCTCTCTCTCTTCATTCTTCCTTTCGCTGTTGATTCTTTTCTACCTTCTTTTACCATACCATATGTTCTCTTCTTTCCTACCTGGTTTCCATCCGACCTTCGTTTTCCCCATCTTTGATACCATCGGAACCGGGTTAGGCAGCAATCAGCAATTTTTACCATTCATGTGAATAGACATTTTCGGGTTCTATTTAAAAGCCATTTTATCACCCCTTGAAGCGATCAGAATTTGAGAATCGAGAGAGAAGAAATTCGCCGATGCGAGTTCCACCGCCTGTCTGGATGACAGACCACTCCCGAGAATTATCGAACGGACGGACTGGTTTCTGTCTAGGGTTGGCTTACGAGGCATGATTTACTGCAATTAAACTTTTTGATAAATTTGGTGACTGTAATTTGTAGTTTCCTATATATCCCTGGTGTTTTATCGAGATCTATCCAGATTTATCCAGATCTCTCCAGATTTATCTACTATTGCCCCTGATCCTGGTTAAGATCGACGGGATTCCTTGCAGAATACTGCGAGATGTACCTGCCATACACGTGACGGATCCGCGCCCGATCATCGGAACGTGGTTGCTGCCTTGTTTTTGCCTCGGGTTTGTCTACCCTTTGGCCTCTGTTTGGTGCTTTCTTTACTCTTCATCCACTTTTTCCATGGTGATAATGCTACTCAGCTTATTCCATGGGTATGATCCTACTCACCTTGCTACAAGAGTATGTTTCTACCCATATTACTTGTTCAGGATGCTTCTACTCAACTTACTTCACAGTATGCTTTACTTACTCCCTATCCAGGAACATGCCCAAACACAGAAGACAAGAAGACACAATGTACTTCAATCAAGCGTATTCCCATCAGGAACACGAACAATCAACAAATAAGAACGCAGGAACAAGGAAGAAAAATGATCAACAACCAATCATCCACAAGTGAAACACCCACGCGGTCTTAGCGAATCGAACCGTTGTGAAGATCGACATCCTCGGCCTCGGAACTTTGCTTGGCCCCCCCTTTACCCCCTCGACGATCTCTTCCCCAGTCTTTCTGCCTACCTGGCAAGCTAACCTGCAAGACTTTTTTTCTTTTTTCTTGCACGATGCCAGGTCGGCCCGCTATTCTCGTTTGCCGGGCCCGTTTACTGGTTGGTCGGTTATTCGGGCTGCTCGTTTAGTTTTTTAGGGGTGGTGATCGGCGGCGCTTTTTGCTCTGTCTGCGGAGAGAACCGCCTGTCGACTCGCTTCTATGCTTGGCTTGTTGTTTGCTGGTGCTGGTGCTGGTGCTGGACACTGGCTGTGGGAGTGGGCATGGACAGTGGACAATGGACAGGGAGAGAGTGTCAAGTCCACGATGCAACGCAACCTCAGCTGCTTAATTTATAACCATGCAAAGCTGGCCCATCATATGGCGCTCTGCAGACATCTCATCTACCCTGCGGATGGGTTCCGGCGCTCATCCGGGAGGGGACTAATTGCTAATTAATATAAACAAAAAAAGAAACACCCCATGACAGTTCCACCCCCGCCCGTCGGTCGCCGTGAGCTGCAAGTGGATTCGACTAGTCTGATACTGTCCATTCCCCCCCGTCTTTATAAAAGGTAAACGGTCCCCGGTTCCCGACTATGCGGTGTCTGTCAGTGCAATCTCTCTCCGGTGTCCCTCCTTTCCTTTCGCGACCTAGTATCGCGACGATCGACTCATGAAGTCCACCTTTTTTGTGGCCGCTTTGGCCGCTGTCGTTCAGGCAGAGTCCTCTGTCGTCCAGGCAGAGTCCAATGAGACTGAGAAGCCCAATTGGGCTGAGAAGATCTGGAATGATGCCACGGCTGCCATCACCTGTGCGGCTTGTGAGGTTGGTAGTCTGGTCCCCTTGGGCAGGGAAACGGGCTAATTTGTGTAGGGACTTTTAGGGACGCTCAAGGGGGCGGCCGGTCTGGGACAGCATGCTTTGGAGAATATCCTGGCCGATGTGTGCAAACTCGCAAAGGTAGGTGATTTGACCCTCGACAGTTGGACGGCTACTAATAGATTGCAGATCGAAGATGACGATGTCTGCGAGGGCATCATTGCGGAACAAGGCACCTCGGCTTACTACGTCCTTACCCACCTCGACGTCGGCTCGCACACCTCCAAGACCTTCTGCGCCAGCATCACCAGCCTCTGTGAATACCCCGACATCCGGCCCTACAACCTCACCCTCCCCCCGCGTCGACCGGGTACCAAGCGTCCGGAGCCGAGCGGACAGAAGCCCATCCGGGTCGCCCATATCAGTGACACACACGTCGATCAGCACTACGAGGTTGGCGCCAACTACTTCTGCTCGAAGCCCATCTGCTGCCGCAGCTGGGACCCCGAGGTGGACGCCCCCGGCAACACGTCGTACCCGGCCGGCCCCTGGGGCAACGAGCAGTGCGACCCGCCCCTGCGCCTGGAAGACAGCATGGTGAAGGCGATCGCCGCTCTCGACCCCGACCTGACGCTCTACACGGGCGACATCCCCGCCCACGACGTCTGGCAGGCGAACCAGACCGAAGTCCTCCTCAACTTCGAGTCCACCTACGACAACCTCGGCAAGCTAGGCCTCGTCTACGGCGCCCTGGGCAACCACGACACGGCCCCAATCAACGCGTTCCCCTTCGGCAAGGTGCCCAAGTCGCACGCGCCCCAATGGGCCTACGACGCGATCGAGCGCGAATGGAGCGAACTCGTCCAAAACGGCGGCGACGCCTCCGACTTCGCCTCCTCCTACCACGAGGGCTCCTACGCCGTCAACTCCCAGGGCGGCAAGCTGCGCATCATCTCCTACAACAGCATCTACTACTACAAGTACGACTTCTACGCCTTCCAGGAGCCCATGGAGCACGACCCCAACCACCAGTTCGCCTGGCTCATCAAGGAGCTCGACGCCGCCGAAAAGGCCGGCCAGCGCGTCTGGCTCATCTCGCACATCCCCTCCGGCCACAACGACATGCTCCACGACTACTCGCACTCCCTCGACCTCATCGTCAACCGCTACGCCGCGACCATCGCCGCCCTCTTCTTCGGCCACACCCACACGGACCTCTTCCAAGTCTCCTACACAAACTACACCACCCGCTCCGCAGACACCGCCTCCGCCATCGGCTACGTCGCCGGCTCCATGACCCCCGACGCAGGAAGCCCCACCTTCCGCATCTACGACGTCGACCCATCCACCTTCGCCGTCCTCGACTACACAGTCTACACAGCCAACATCAACAGCACAAACAGCACCGACCACGAACCCGCCTGGACCAAGTACTACTCCGCAAAGGAAGCCTACGGCGCCCAGCTCTCGCCCCCCGTGACCGACCCCAAAGCAGAACTCACCCCAGCCTTCTGGCACCACGTCACCGAGCGCTTCGAGTCCGACGCCGCGCTCTTCCAGAAGTGGTGGGCCCGCACGACCCGCGACTACAACGTCACCGAGTGCGTCGACTCCTGCCAGGAGGAGCAGATCTGTGCCCTCCGTGGCGGCGACGCCCAGTTCAACTGTGCCTCGAAGCCCGCGCTGAGTCTGCCGAAGCGCGATGGTGCTGTTGTGCAGGTTGCTGCCAAGCCGCCTCGCCCGGTGTGTGAGGATGGTGGTCTCCCGCGTGTGTTGAGCATGCTGGTGCGGAAGACGGGCGGTGCTGGTCAGCTGGATCAGCTGTTGCAGGAGAAGGCCGCTGCTTATAAGGCTTGATTTGAATATAGGGGGGTGTATATAGTGAAGATATAATAGTGTGAAGTACATAATATAGTGAAGACATCATATAGTGAAGTACATACGAGTTGTTGTAATCTATTTTCTAATTACTTTTTGCTTTTTACTATGTTGGGATAGAGATTGATCTTCTACTGGATTGATCGTCTATGGGTTGTGTATACCATCTGTAGATAGCTAGTACTATTGTCCTTAGCCCTCAGACAAACAAACATATATATCCATAGTGAAAACGAAAATAAACATACAAATAAACCAACAAAAAAAAAAAAAAAAAAAAAAAACCCCTCAACCTACCACTATTTACTTACCAAATAGTCTGTTAGTAACTTAAGATTCAATAAAAAAAAAAAGAATAATCAACTAAGAACAAAGAAAGAAAAAAAAAAAGAGAGAGAGAGGATGAAACTCATTTTCCAAACCTAGGTAGGGAGGAGTTGAAAAAAAACAAAAAGATTGAGTGAGATGGGGCTCGAACCCACAACCTTTGGTGTAATTGTTATGAACAATTATTTGATGTAATCGTAAACCGAAAACCAACGCGCTGCCATTGCGCCACCCACCCGGATTATATATTTCTGATAGGTTTTGTTATTCTTATGGTGGGTTCACTTATTTTTTTGTATGGGACCACTACATGAGTACCAGAGGGTTAACCATATTATTATGTACACTGTACTTGGTTATTGTTTGGTGTATACTGAGGTAAATTATTTAACGATTTTCTGGATCTTACATGCAGTGTTACTATTATATTACATTGTTTAATGCTATTCTTCTGCTCTTTGTATGAGTACGTACGATTAGGAAAGACTACTAAATGATTCGGACCTGCGTTTAGAACTAGGTTGATCCTGGATTGCCGCGTTTATTGACTCGATAGTAACATCAATATTGCTATATCATATAGATACTTTTAATGTCTGTCAATCAATTGGGCTTGGACTGCCAGCAATAAGTACCCAACTAGGGGTTAAGTTGTACAGTCACAAGCTATGGGTGCTTATATATAACTGAGGCTGCTGCGCCGCTGAGAAGGTGAAAGAACTATGCAGATAACCTGCGCGCCCATAATTCGAGATACGGTTTGGATTGTACAAATTCCAGGAAATTCCACATGGAGTATGCGAGATATTGCCGCTGTTGGAATCATGTTCACAAAATAGTTGATGGGAATTGAGGTGGGGTCGAGTCAACCATCTAGTTTACATTCTAAGCGCTTAAGTTCATCCCATCCCAAAACAACTTCCAAGCGCTATGTCGATCTCACGACAGGACTTATTCGAGGCGCTGTTGGGCTTCCAAATGTGCTCGATGGCCAATGGACAACTCTGATGTTCTGACCGCGCCCCTCTCACTGTGCCGCAAATACCAGCCTTGTCTTAAGCGCCAGGGCCTCTGTGGTATATAATATTATCTATTGCAGGCGCAATCCTCCTGCAGTTGAAATCGAAATTATCCTAGATATTTCCGGCTACCAACACAATGGAAAACAGCATTCTACCATTCTCGAAGTCCGAGTCGAGTTTCTCATCCACATCTCTACCCCAGTCAAACCCATCCACAACCGACATTCAGGCCCAACCATGGAAGTATCTCGGGTACAGGGCATTCTGCGAGTGGTCCGCATCTGACAACGACCTTTTCGTGCTCCGTCGCTTCACAGCCCTCAACACCCGGGTGATCCTGAAGATGCAGGACGAGATCGTGCAGCTGGAGGAGGAACTCACGGAGATCGACGACCAGAATGCCCAGGTGCATATACCGCCTGTGAACAACGGCTCGTTCAGAAACGAAGTCGTCCGAAGACGGGAAGAGATAATCGAGGAAGCTAGACTGAAGCTGAGAGAGTACAGTAGGCATTGATTGGGCTTGTTTCCCCTGGGGCAAGCGAATACTGAGTTTCTCGCATATTCCCACGTCTTGAAATACTCGAAGCTACGAGCGCGTCCCACGGCGGAATCGCACGAGAGGAAGAATGTTAAGAATTGGCTGTTTCATCGGTATCAGGGGGCTATATTCCCTGCTGAGGCGGACTATGTCACGCACACGGATGATTTGATTCGCGTTGCGCACGAGTTCAAGACGCCGCAGCGGAAGACGCTAGAGAGGTTCAAGGTGATCATCCGTAGCAACATTGTCAAGATCCACCAAGTAAGCTATATCTATAACTCTTTTGACGTTTCTCCCCCAGAGGCTAACTAACTGAACCATCTAGAAAACTAGACCGCATAGCTATGACCCCGAAACCACCCATTACTATGATGGCCGTTTTCTGGAATGGCTCATTAATTTCGTCATTAGCTTTTTGGGGCTGATCATGCTCATTGCACCGCCGTGGTGGCTGCTTTTCGTCGAGAATCCGATGTATCGCCTCGGAATTATCACGGGGTTCATTACGTTCTTCCTGGCGCTGGTCTTTTCAATATCGGGGGCGCTACCGTTCGAATGTTTAGTAGCGACGGCTGGGTAGGTTTTTTTTATTGCATCCTTCGGCCAAAAGTGTGCTATAAACTGGTCCCTGCTAACATGATGTGAGATTAGATATGCGGCCGTGCTCATGGTGTTCATGCAGTTTGGAAGTAGCTCAATGTGAACCATATCTCGATGGTTCCGCCAAGCCATGGAGATCATGATTGCCATGATCGTCACAGGGAGCGAAATCCCGCAGGATGAAGTTGATAGGACTCAAGATGTACATGTATATACCCACAGTGGCTTTTTGGCTTGACGATTCATGTCTGTAAGCGTTTTATTGATTTCCTTCTGTTTCATGTTTGTCCACATACTTGGGTATGATACGAGGTACTCAGGATGCGCCCCACACCGTACAGTAGTCGGCAAACATTTGATGAGCTTCTCAAACATCGTTTGAAATATGATATGTCCGAAAGCCCTTGCAGATCATAGTGTGTAGGATGCTAAGTATATCTTGGACCTGTTCTACTCCATATCATTCTGAGAACCAAGAACGAACGATAAGCTTCTTACCTCAGCAGCCTCGGCATCTCCGCGTTCCCCGACTGACCGAATGGATCAGACCTCTCACCGTCATCCCTTGATCCGATCGCTCCTCTTCTCCCTCATTTCTCTGTTTAAACTCGATCCCTTGTTTGATGAGCCTCCAACCCCCAATTCCCACAACCCCCTGTCTGATCCTCTCATCCGTGAAGACGGTGTGATCATGGCTCACGGTCGTTCTCCAACCGTCTCCGCTGCTGGCTCTTCCGGGAAAACTATACCGAATTTCTCTCTCACTTGAAAGTGATCACTTGGGAACAAATGTCCCTGTAATTCGTTCAGTCCGGCTTCAGCGACCTCGCCGCCTGTCGCTCGTCATGGAGGACCGGCGCCCCGAGGTGCTGGTGGTCTCCATCGTCTTCTTCCTCATCGCCACCGTCTTCGTCGCCCTCCGCTTCGTCTCCAGGATCTATATCGTCCGCCGCCTGAGCCTCCATGACTATGTCATGCTATTGGCCTGGGTAGGTTAGTCTGTTGTCGTGCTCGATACGCGAAGCTCATTGGATATAGGTCATCGACTTCGGGTTCTCGTTCTCCTTGTTCTACGCAACTAGCAAAGGCCTGGGTCTGCATGATTTTGCGATCGATATCGAAGCCCGATCCAGTCTCAATCGCGCCAATTATGTCTTCACCGTGCTTTATGTGAGCGCCCTGGACCCGATCCGTCTGAACTCTCCCTAATGCCTGCAGAACCCCGCCCTCATGGCCGTCAAGACATCCATCCTCATCTTTTATCTCACCTTGACCCAAGGGGAGAAGGTCTTTCGCTGGGCCAACTACACCACACTCTTTGTTGTCAATGTCGCCGGGCTCGCCCTCACGCTGGTTAATGTCTTCCAATGCAATCCGGTCGGGGCCGCCTTTGTCTATCCGCGCCAGGATGACGCGGTCTGCACCGATATCTTGACCTTGTATCTTTCGTCCTCGCCCGTCAATATCATCACCGACCTCGCGATCCTCTTTATCCCCAACCCCATCATCACCAAGATGCGTCTCCCTCGGAAACAGAAGATCATCCTGGTGATCACGTTCAGCTTTGGCTTTTTCGTGGCCGTCGTCGATGTGATCCGCATCGCTTACTTGCAGAACGCTGCCACGTCACGCCGGATCGCCTTGAAAGACCTCCACTTGCAATACAGCCAGGGCGATGACATTAATTGTAGGTGGACGATCCAATAGTCAGTGTTGCCGTTTTCTGACCCATCTAGGGTACGCGTCTCTGTCATTCATGTGGTCAGTCGTTGAGGTCAACGTGTCCGTGATGTGCGCCTGTGTACCGAGTCTCAAGCCGTTGGTCGCTCGCCTCGTTCCCAAACTGATCAAGGACTCGGATTCAAGCTCCGATGGCACCCTCGACATAGCCCAGATGCCGGAGCTGGAGCTGCAGGAGACGGCCGAAATGCCCCTCTCCCCGACATGCCTGTCTCCCATCGCGGAGTGTTCGCCAACAGAGACCAACCCCCGTAAACCATCCCGGTCGATGAGTCGTGGCAGTGTCAGTTTCCCAGCCCCCGGTGCCGTTCCGATGGACATGCGCGAGTTCTTGATGGCCCCCGATTCGGCTCCGCCGCAGGACCCGGAGTCCAACACCATCTTTACCACCGCCTCGTATCAGCAGACCATCACCTTCTTCGACTTTGTCAACATGAAGACCCCCACGAGCATGCTCAAACTGAGCAATAAGGAGTCCATCGCGCCCATCGCCCTGACCACGATCTTGTTCTTTCTGTGGGGCTTCGCCTACGGTTTGTTGGACATTCTCAACGCACAGTTTCAAGACATCGTGCGGCTGGACACGTGGCGGTCCCTCGGCCTTCACGCTGTCTACTTTGGTGGCTACGTGATCGGTCCGCCCTTCATCGGCCGTTTGATACTCAAGCGATGGGGGTTCAAAGCGACGTTCATCACCGGCCTGTGCATCTACGCCTGCGGGACCTTGATCTTCTGGCCGTCGGCGGTCCTGGCCTCGTATTCGGCCTTCATCGTGTCCAATTTCATCGTGGGCCTGGGCCTTGCCGTTTTGGAGACGGCCGCCAATCCGTTCATTGCGCTATGCGGGCCGCTGGAGAACTCAGAGATCCGGTTGAACATCTCGCAAGGCATCCAGGCGATCGGAAGTGTCGTGTCGCCGCTGCTGGCCAAGGAGGTGCTGTTCCGCCAGGTGACCGACGTGTCGGCTCTCGTCGACGTGCAGTGGACGTACCTCGGGATCGCTCTCTTCGATGTCCTCTTGGCCGTCGCCTTTTACTATCTGCCAATCCCCGAAGCGTCTGACGAGGACCTGAAAGAACTGGCCAACCGCCGTCGAGACGACAATATGACCAAAGTCGCGGGCATCCCGGTGGTCTGGGTTACACTCGCCTTGGGCGTAAGCTCCCAATTCTTCTACGTGGCGGGACAAGAAGTCCTCTCGCAAGGATTCGAGTCTTTCGTCACGAGCGTGCATCCCAAGTATGCATCTCCCTTCCTCCTGGCCTTACCACCGTCTGAATGCTAATCCTTCACTAGATCCAAACTGGACCCATTCCAATACTTAACAATCGGCCACGCATTATTTGCCGTAGGCCGCTTCCTAGCCGCCTTCATGCAGTGGTTCCTAAAACCCCGATGGATCCTCCTTCTATCCTACCTCGGCATGATCGTCTTCGCCGTGCTATGCATGAAAACAACCGGAGCAGCAGCAATGGCAATGGTCCTACTAGTCTACACCTTCGAGAGCGGCGCATTCAGCATCATCTTCGCCATCTCGCTCCGCGGCACAGGCCAACACACAAAGACAGCCGCATCGCTCCTAACCATGGCTGTCGGCAGCGGTGCACCCTTCCCATTCGCACAGCGCGCCGCCCAACTCACCGGCGGACCACCCTTCTCCTTTAGCGTGCTCGTCGCGCTATTCAGCGCAGGCGCCATCTTCCCCCTGTATCTGAATCTCGTCCCCGCCGCCAAAAAGCAGGTAGATCCCGTCCCCGACGAACACCTCCGCCACCCCCGTCGCCGCAGCCGCGTCCGACCGAACGTTGTGCCGCGCGAGAAGGAAAACCCTGCCGTGGGAGGCGTGTTCGCCCGTCGTCGTAGCGTGCTTACGGACCCGCTTCCGAACGTCGAACTCGCTCAGCAGGCCCCGGAGGAGTCCAATGTGCGGCGGGGGTCGGCGCAGGGCGGGATCATGCATGATTTAGCGCCGTGGCCTGAATAGTTTCATCTATGCTTCTTTCGTTTGTCTGTTTCTGGCGTTCTGTACATGATACCCCTGACTTTGGTCAATGAGTTCTGGTGTGCTGGTTGATAGATTGTGGATTGCTGGATTGGATGGAGTTGGCTGGCTTGGTTTTGTTTAGTTGATGGATAACGTTGCTGAAATATTGAGGTCTATAGATAGAGGGAGGACATACTACCTGGTAAAATACCAACTACGCTGCTAATATCTTGCCGAATCGGGAGGCGGAGGAAAGAAGCCTTCATGTAATTCGCAGTCGCTGGAGTTAAGCTTAAAAAAGGGTTAAGCTCTGAGTGTAAACTGCCAATAGTTAATCCCATAGTCATTACTAGACCAGATGGGTGTAACTATGTATTAAGGCCCATATTTCTAAGCACGGAATTATTTACTTTAAGTTTACGTGGGGATAGGTAGGAAGTAGAAATATAGTTACCTAGTTATAGTTATCCACATCGTACGATATTCCTATTTAGTTTATAATAAAGAATGGATCCTATTAATATAATATCTAAAGATAAAATAATGCATTATGTTATAACACTAAATAGGCAGTGATAGAGACCCAGATCGAATACACAGATATTACCGGACTGTGTACTACGATCCTCAGCATATCTCGACCCTCCCAGTCCAGGTGGGGAGTGGATGAGTGGGTGGCCCTGGTGGGTTGATGAGTGGAGAGTGTATCGTTTTGTACTGTGACGCGTGTGGACTGTAGACTACTCGGTATCTGGTTATAGTTACTAGCAGGAGGAGGAAATTCTCCGAGCCACGCTATACTTTTACTACTTAGTTACTACTTACTGCTTACTGGATTAGTGACTTCACTAGTAGCCCGTGTGGGCTATTTACTATGTGGATTGGGCGTGGAAGTTGAATTGGGTACTTAGTATACTTTCCGTTTACTATATGTAAGATATTAGACTACAATAGTAGGTACTAGGTATGGTAGAGTACAATATGCTTACCCCCTCGGCATCGAATATTATCCAAATTAGCAGCGTGTATCCCAGGGACTAACTAACTACTCTACCAGATAAAAGTAAAGGTAAGACTACTGCATAATGCAATACACCCGAGACTAAACCGATTAGCTTCCCATCTAACCTAACGTATAACTATCAACTTTGGAACCAATACATATACACCAATAGTTGCCACTCACCATCTATGGATGTACCACCAAATCAGTACCATACTATTCTGCCTACCTACTTACCATTAACGGCACCAGATCCGAATCGATCGATCGATCTAACATCTGAACTCGATTGCATCCACCCAATCCATACTCTTCTCAACCAAGGGAGGAAACTCGTTCGCCCTCGTGTATCGCTGTATTCGGACTATTCGGACAAACCGGTGGGGTGTACTACCTACCTCCCACGTACGACCATAGTAGGTACAGTAGGTACTATAACTATTCTATTGGTCTCTAGGTACCAACAGTGACTACTAGTATCTAGATACTAACAATGACGACTATAGTATAACCTGTATATTAATTACACGATTACCATACTAAGATAGTATAATATAATATAACATAATATAACCAGGATACGGACCCAACTCCCTGGTTGGAAACTCTCCGGGATGGATCGCCCGGTTGGGTTCCCCTGTTGGGCGTTGGTTGGTGTACATCTTCCGTTGCGCGCGAGTCGCTCGGTGGTCCCCTCCCCTGGGTTCCCGTCCCCTGTTTGGTTTGATTTGGTTTGAGGTTATGTTTAGACTTTGTTGGTGGGATACTCCCATAAATAAGATGAATTAAATAAGAAATGATAAAATAATAAAATAGGGAAATTAAAAAGGGGAAAATACTTTTGAATACCATTGGTATTGTATTGCCGGGATCTTCTCGGCATTTGATAGAATGATGATCATGGGTTTCGCTTTTCTAGACCCCGATCTTTTTCTCCATTTATGCTTTTTTTTTTCTCCCTTTTTCTCGCGGATATTTGTCAATAAGGTAACTGCCATAAGTAAAGTACTGCATGAGATCAATTCTATCATTTATTCCATGATCGATGGCTCGTTCATGGTGAACGAAATAGTCGATGTCCAGAACTCCGCCTCCCTCGTGGAACGATATCAAGATATAGAGACCAAGCAAGATAGAACGACAAAGTAAGAAACGGACAAGATAGCAAGCAAAGCCTCCGATAACCCCAAACAAGAGCCCAAATGACAAAACAGAGAGAAAGAAAAGAAGAAGAAAGGTCAACCCCGTGAACTTCGAGGTCGCGATATCGAAGACGAATCCCGGAGCACGTCAGGCGCCCGCGGCCCAACCATCCAGTCCTCCATCGCCAGCCAGTCACTCCAGCTCCGCTCCGCGGCTTCGATCTCCGAGTCGAGCGGCCCTTGTAATGGGCGCAAAAATGGAATCGTCTCGAGCGGGGGGATATCGTAGTCTTTCTTGACGGCCGCCCAGCCGCCGCTTTTGGCCGCGAAGAGATAGTTGCGACGCTCCTGCTCGTGCAGGGGCCCGATGCCGGCGCCCCAGTCGTCCCCGAAGAACCCCTGCAGTACCCCGGGAAGTCCATGCCCGTGGCCACGAGGCGACGGAGGTAGGGGGTTAGCGAGACGGCGAGGGGGAGACTTGAGGGGTCGTCGGACGAGTTCTGCACGGGTTGCGGTTGGCGCTGGAATGGTAGTCGGATGTTGAGGAATGCGGAGAGCGCTTGCACGGAGGTGCTGTGCTGGGCGTGGTCGAGGAAGTACCGTTGGCAGATTTGGTAGCGCGGGTACCAGTCGAAGATGTCGAAGCTGTCGCCTGCGGCGCCTTGAGGGAGCCCTACCATTGCGGCTGGGTCAACGAATCGGTGGGTTGAGTCCATTGGGGGAGTCTGGGACCCGGACGAATCGCGTGGCCAGTCTACAGAGCGTCTGATCAATCGTAGTGTTAGTACACCACGGGAGACAGTTGATGGGCAGTATTGCATCGCCAATTGACCAACGTACTTGGAAAAAACACTCCGCCCTCGTTGGATCAAGAGAGAGACTCGGCGCCACGGAGACGAGTTCGGAGGCGAGGAATCGACACCGGGGAAACCTAGTCCTCTACCAGGGTGAGATTTGTTCACGGACATCTGCTAGGTGAAGCCCATCTATTGATAGACAAGAACCCTTCATGACAAATGTAAAAAGACGAGGTAGGAAGGGTAGTTGTTTAGATAAATAGGACCCATTGGAGAAGAGATGGGGTACGTGAGACATACATGGACTTTATGGAAACAAGAGGGGGTGGAGGAGGGGAGGGGGACAGAGTGGAAACTCGAAAGGATGGTTCGACTAAGAAGAGAAAAGAAAAGAAAAGAAAGAAAGAAAGAAAGAAAAGAAAAGAGAGAGAGAGAGAGAACTGATTGGGAAAAGAAGAAGAAGATTGGAAATGGAAGAGGGACGGGAGATATATTATTATATTATTTTATATTATTCGGTTTATATTATTAGGATTATTGCATGTTATTATCGTGTTATTACCTGTTCTGAGAACCTTATTACACCATACATATTACTGTCATGCTTCTCATAATCTTCATTCTTCTGATTATCATGGATATTTACTCCGGTCCAGTCCGCATATCAATTGTCTTCGCAAGGAGCAGCGGAGTTTTGGGTCTGGAGATGAAGTCCAATTTCATTCATAACCAATAATCCGTCGGGCACCAGAGTCTCAGACTAGGATTTGACAATAGTCTAATAATACACCGGCTTCATCCAGAGGTTTGGACAATAATCGATTGTCAATACAATCGAAGAAAAGATCAAAAGGAGAAAAAGAAAAAAAAAAGAACAAAACAGGCAACCAAAAAAGAGTCACCAATGGTTGGAACGAGGGGGTAATAAAAAAGAATCGAAAGAAAATATAAAAAATACAACAAATAAATAAGAATTAAAGAAATAAAGAAATAGAATAAGCACAAACTCCCATCAGATCTGAACCCAATCCGAGATCCAAGCGTTCTTCAGATCGATTGGGTGAATCCATGGTTAGTGGCGAAAAGTAAAGGGTCATCGCGTGTCCTTTTCCCTGGTCCTGCAATTACTAATGCACCCTGGAATGGTTAATGGTGGATCCGGTATGTTGGTTCCTCTTGCATCGTCGTTTTAACATGATGATATTCAGGTGTCTTGTCTATCATGGCCCGGAGGCAACAGCGCTGTATTTGCTTATTGCTTGGTAGTTCATGTGATTGCTATGATCCCGTATCCCTCAGAGTAGTCTTATACGAGTAGTATCCTCCGATGTTACTCTGCCATTTCTGGATTTAATCTGAGATCAAGCATGCAGCAGTAGTTGCAGACGGGCTTTGCTGCGGGATGCGTTCCCCTAGTCTCCCTTAGTGAGCAACCTAGCATTAGAGACCTGATTGGGATAGTCAATTGTAGAACAACAATACAAGAACAGTATTGTTTTGAGAAGTAAAACATAGAATGAAAAACAAAGAGGAAAATAAAAAAAATAAAAATACAAATCGAAAAAGAATAAGAAAAGAAAAAGAGAGAAGAGGTTGCTGTGCGAGATTCAGGATCGCCCAATCCGATCCGGACCCAATCTCTGGTCCGTCCATAGTAACTATGTACTAGCCTCATTGGTCCCTGGTTCACTGGGTTAGTTGGTTAGTTGGTTTCAAATCCTCTCCCTGCCAGAAGAAGGTGTTGTCTGCCGATTTTCCACCCCGAGAAGTCGGTCACCACATGCATGCTGGCCTGAAGTGAGGTGGTGTACCCCGTAAGTAGGTGGCGTTTCCATAGTCTCCTCCCCAAGTCGTACATATGGCGGTCAGGGGGGGGGGGAGGAGAATATCCCATCCAAAGGACTATTGTACTGCATTCATCTCGCTTCGTTTTTGGTTCTTCCCTTTCCTTTCGGGATTGGTCGGGATTTTTATGTACTGATCTTCGCTTTCAACTGGGTATAGACGAAGGAAGCAATCTCCCAGGAACAAAGTTTAAAGGAAACTCTGTAGGGACGAGCCTACCAACGGGTAGGGCCTTAATGGCCCAAACAGAGTGGAACATGCTTGTCTAGATCCAGCAGTCCACATCCAGTTGGACAATAAGCTTGTGTTCCCCGCTCCTGTCCCTGGGCCAGAAAGGCATGGTCTAAGATTAGTTGCCCCCCAAATCTTCAATCTCGTCTTCGGCAGGGATTGAGAGTAGCATGAACTGGTAGGACAGACAGTGCTCTTCCCTTGGATTTCTTACCAACCTAGGTGAGGGTGAGTGTGTGACGCTGTAGAGATTGCCGTGGATGTATGGTATTTTACATTAACGAAACGCGAGAGGTTTGCTTTCCCGGCGTCAAAGCTCCTCTTCTCGACCTCCTCGCGCCAGCGGTATAACAGCCTGACTGACTCGATGTCCACACCTGCATTGCCATGCCAGGGCCAGGGCCAGGGCGGGGTACATTCGCCACGTCGAATGTCCGGTGTTAGTCGGTCCACTTGCTGCATTATCGCGTCATTTCCGCTGTACCAATCAGACAGTACACTTGCATGTCGATACTTTGCTGTTGAAAACTTTGACGAGAATCTGACTTCGCAGCGGGCTGTGCTCCTGTCAAGTCTCTAGCGGATATCACTAGAGACTCACTAGAGACTCCAAGAGACAATGAATGTATCGGCCGAAGTGAGTGAGGATGAGCGGTGAAGCGCGACAGAAACTCCCGCCACTCTTAGCCGCCCATCATGCATGCAAGACGTCCACATCCCCGCCCTGACTGACACCTTGATGAAGCCGCAACTGCTGGCCAGTGGGCGTGTTTACTTCCAGTTGGCTCCCATGTCTTGATATCACTTCCATCCTTTAACTGCCGTTCTCTTGCCCGAGATCCACACACCGTTCTGTCCTCGCATGATACATCGGTGCAGCTGTTATGCTGCGCGCTGCAGTCCTAGTATGCGAGATCGCCGTTTACCGTCATTTCTGGGCAAGCAGGCCCGAGGGCCTTTTATAAGCGATATTTCCAACGCTATATGTCGGGATATGCCGGGCTTTGCACGTAGCCGGATTGTTAGTTGAATGGGAAAATAACACGAACGACTAAACATACAGGGTAAAGCTGAATACTCAGTATAGTGGAGATGCTAATATAGTGTCTGGACCTTAGGCCCGACTAATTCATTAGTAAAATGGCCTATCATGCAGATGCGCCATACCGAACTCTATGCCATGCTGCGACAATTCCAGGAAGTCACATACACACGGTAAATCGCCTCGAGAAGCACGTTGTTATCTATCATTCATGTTTTTGATTGGCAGCAGTCTTGTACATTGACATGAGGCAAGGGGAAAATTAACACGTCTGTTGGTGATTCGCCACCTTGAGATTAATCTTTCCTATGGGGCGGATCCGGGTTGATAGATCTGAAGAGCAACATGGTGTGTACTCCACCTCAGGGATGTCCGACAACAAGCAAGCTGGATTTGGGATATGCTCTGATGAGAGCTGAAGTCTCTGGGAGGTATACGAGGTCGTGTCGTATAGCATGGTTGATCCCATGCACATGTTACCTGATCTACAATGTCAACGCTGACACAAAGTCACCAATAACTAACTAGATATACTACTAAAACCTCATGCACCATGTCACCTGTCCTAGAACGCTGCAGAACTCGTCATCTCCCGAACCGTCAGTCATGCAAGGTAATTTGCCACCGCGCACGATATCTAACCGTAACGATACCGATTTAGATGCTATTACCGAATCGGGAATTGACGCCACACATATCTGCATCTCAGCCGCACCGTCACCCTCGCCACTGTGGCTTACGTGTATTAAAGCCACCATTGCAGCTGTACATCACTAGCCACAGATTGCTGCACCGTCCTTGCTGGTTGGGAGTCGAGAGCGTGGCGATTTCTCTCAGAAGCCCTACCTAGGTTCGTTGATTGGGATACGATCAGAAGTTGAGCACTACGGAAATTGCTCGAATGGGAAGATCGTATTTCGCTATGTCCCTTGCGAGTGGTCTTAGCGTTTCACTCTCTGATTCTGGTTCTTGTGAGGCATTTTGAAGAAGGTCTCAGCTGTCGATTTTGTCTAGTGCAGGGACAAGTTCATCTATGCTGAGCCTGGACTTGGGACACGGTGCTGTCGACTGACTGGACGTGTCATTCAACTTGGGCTCCATCTTGGCTTGATAGTGATTAGCTTTTTCTGCGTGTTGTGTCTGGGTCTCGAGCGTCTCGCTACTTTCTGGATATTCCAATTCTGCATCTTGATAGGGAGACCGTCGGGTGCAGACATATCACTGAACTTTCGTACCTCGGAGGTGGCCGGTTTATTTTGTCTGAAATGAGGTAACAATCTTCCCATCATGCTTCACTTTAAAACACAAATCCGTTGAATACCCATCTGTTGAACGCCAAGATGCAGGCATAACAGATATTGGATATATCCACGGTGCTGTTCTCTTAGACAGGTCCCGCCGGTTTCGAAAAAAAAGAAAAAGACGATCATGTGTCCTGATCTTCGTTTCTAGATATCGGCGGTGACGGTACGAGTCTCCTTGATGACCCATCAACCCATGGTGTTGTTGTCTAAGCCTGTCAATTTCAGACTTATCCTGCTTTAGATCGACACTACGATAGCCATACCTGGCAAATTGAATCGAACATGACATCTACCTATCTCTGGAGAACACCCAAGACACTTGAGAGAATTCCGAAACTCAGGTCTGCCCCAGCAGAGATCATCAAGCAGGGGTGACGAAAGTATGGGATCAGTCTTCTGCAAGACAGCTAGTCGCTCAAGGGGCTGGTATTTTAGCTCCTTCCGGAAACATCTAGCGCTCC